AGCTCAGCCTCAGTGAAGACATCCATGCGCCGAAGATAGCCAATGACACGCAGGCAGGCCGGCAGCTGGATGTTGGTCCTCAGTTGCTGGATCAGCTGGCTGAGCATCAGCTGCATGGACTGGCGCACTTCATTCACAATGCCCTGATAATACAGATACACTGAGTCACAACACACTGGGAAAAATACTTTGAAACCCATCCTACTAACCCTGGACACTGGAGGCCAACATTCTTATGGCTTTCCGGACATACCGTGGATTTCTAAAGCTTACACCTGCAGGTTTACAGAGATCTGCTTGCATAACTAACTCTTTTGCTCAAAAATCCTCCTAGGATTTCCCATCACAACCAACAAACTCCCAACTATTCACCACGATCTCCGGGCCCTGCCTGATTCTCCAGCTTCACCTGCTTCCTAATGCCCCAGCCTTTCTCATGATAGTAAGAGTGGCTGGTTTGGGACTCCCGAAACACTCAATTTCTTTCCACCTCACTCTGTTTTACTTCTCCTACTTCTTGTTTTGCTGTCTCCCTAGACCTTCAAGTGCCAGTTCTTTCTCATCCTGACCATGCCAGCAAAGCAGTACTCTAATAACCATTTCCAGCCACTACCCTAGTCCCCAATTCACTTTGTTTTTGGTCTTTTGACATAATCTCAGCAAGCTGGCCTCAAACTCACTAAGTAGTTAAGGATGGCCTTGAACTCCTGATTGATCCTTGTCTCTACCTTCCAGGTGCTGTTTACAGGCATACCCATCATGCCTGCCTGGCTTTCTCTGGCTTATTTCAGATATTTACCAATATCTGCAATATTATTATTTGTCAATTATCAGACATTCACTACAACAGAAACTTCGTGAGAGCCATGGCCTTGAATGCTTTGTTCACATGGTATCCCTAGTACCTAAGTTAGTGTCTGGCACATGAGTAACATGATCTTTGTCTGGACGGTGGTGGCGCACGCCTTTCATCCCAGCACTAGGGAGGCAGGGGCAGGTGGATCTCTGTGAGTTTGAGGTCAGCCTGGTCTACAGTGAGTTCCAGGACTAGACAGGACTACACAAAGAAACCCTGTCTCAAAAAACAAACAACAACAACAAAAAAAAAAGATCTTTGAATGAGTGAGCCAGTATCTTCTGTTCAGCTTACCTGGCTGGCAGAAATTGGTAAGAAATGTACAAAGGCTTCTACTTAAAAGCTTAGTCACGCCGGGCGGTGGTGGCGCACGCCTTAATCCCAGCACTCGGGAGGCAGAGCCAGGCGGATCTCTGTGAGTTCGAGGCCAGCCTGGGCTACCAAGTGAGTTCCAGGAAAGGCGCAAAGCTACACAGAGAAACCCTGTCTTGAAAAATCAAAAAAAAAAAAAAAAAAAAAAAAAAAAAAAAAAAAAAAAAAAGCTTAGTCACAATCACAGAACTAATAATTACAAGATCACCAGCTTGAGGGTCCTCTGGGCAAGTTGGCTACCTGGATGACAGGGATGGAGGAGTATTTCCTTTCCAGTCGTCGTACATAGGCGGCAAGCTCCAGGGCCTCTTCATAGTAGCTGTTTCGGACACAAGTGTCCATAAGCTGGGGGATTTCTAAAATCTCCAGGATTTCTGTGTGCCGGTTTAGAGTCAGGGTGTTCATCCGACGGTTGGAGCTGATCTCCTCGGCCTCCTTCACAAAGTTCCTAGAACCAATTAGGAAAACAGATCTCATTGTTTTGCACACTAGGTAGTTACCAAGCATTTACTGGGCACTGGCTTGATGGTTTACCTGGTTTATTTAAAGTCTTCACACAGGGCTGGGTGTGGTGGTATACTCCCTGATTCCCAGCCTTCCAGAGGCTGAGGCTGATGTGAGTTCATGGCTACCTTTACCTACATAGTGAGTTACAGACCAGCCAGGGATACATAGGAAGAGCCTGTCTCAAATTCCTCACATCAAACCTATAACTTCTATTATACTTGAAGAAACTTTTTTTTTGTTTTTTTGAGACAGGGTTTCCGTGCATAGCCCTGGCTATCCTGGAACTCTCTTTGTAGACCAGGCTGGCCTCAAACTCACAGAGATCTGCCTGCCTGTGCCTCCCAAGTGCTGGGATCAAAAGCATGCAGAACTACCACCTGGCTAAAGAAAAAAATTTTTTTAATTTTTAAAATTATTATGTGTACAGTATTCTGCCTGCATGTACATTTGCATGATACAGGAGAGCACCATATCTCATTACAGATGGTTGTGAACCACTATGTGGGTGCTGGGAATTGAACTCAGGACCTCTGGAAGAGCAGCCAGTTCTTTTAACCTCTAAGACATCTTTCCAGCCCAAGAAAAAAATTTAATACTTTATTTTATGTGCATTGGTGTGAGGGTGTCAGATTCCCTGGAACTGGAGTTACAGACAGGTGTGAGCTGTCATGTGGGTGCTGGGAATTGAACTCAGGACCTCTGGAAGAGCAGCCAGTGCTCTTAACCGCTGAGCCATCTTTCTAGCCCCTTGAAGAAACCTTTAACTGAGGGTTTAAGAAACTTTTCAAGATCATATCATTAATGGATGGCTTACATGGAGTCATCAAGATGCTCAGTGGGTAAGGGTGCCTGGTACCTGCCAACAAGCCTGCTGACCTGAGTCTGATCCCCAGATGCCACATAATGGAAGGAGAGAACCCACTCCTACAGTGCACATGGCGGCACTCATCTCCCTCCATGTAACTTTTAAAATGGCTTGTAGATCTGGACTGGCTGCAAGGATTGTCACATTTGGGACTGAACTGCTCTGGATCTCATGAAGAAGGACTAGTTATGGCAAGACACTTGGCCTCTCTGGACCTGTCTTTTTTTTTTTTAAGATTTATTTATTTATTATGTATACAGCATGTATGACTGCAGGCCAGAAGAGGGCACCAGATCTCACTCCAGATGGTTGTGAGCCACCATGTGGTTGCTGGGAACTGAACTCAGGACCTCTGGAAGAGCAGTCAGTGCTCTTAACCTCTGAGCCATCTCTTTATTGGTTAAATAGTAAGAAGACCCATCTCACAAAGGCATGAAAGTTAGAGACACGTAAGATGACATGTATGAGGCTGGGTGGCAGCGGTGTCGCACCCCTTTAATCCCAGCATTTGGGAGGCAAAGACAGGCAGATCTCTGAGTTTGAGGCCAGCCTGGTCTACAGAGGGAGTTCCAGGACAGCCAGGGCTACACAGAGAAACCTTGTCTTGGAGGGAAAAAAAAAAAAAAAAGACATTTATGAAGTACACAGGACCTGACATAAAGTAAATGTATAAAAAGAGTAAACAAATTCCTCACTAGCTCTTATTGGAGCTGCAGAGACAGCTAAGAAGTCACTGCTCTTGCAGGGGACTCAGGTTCAGGTCCCAGCACACATATCAAGCGGCTCATAACCACTCCAGTCCCAGGGGACTCTGACACCCCCTTCTGTCATCCTTGGGCACACATGGTGCTCAGACATACACGCAGGCAAAACACTCATACACATATTTTTAATAGCTATTAATATTTTCCTAATGGAGTACTAACTAGCCTCTAAGGCACACTCTTGCCGTAGGATTCCCTCAGGCCTTAATGTAACGTGCTGCCTGCCGTTCAACCTGTTCTTCCTCTTTAACTGTCTCCACTTCTCTAAAGTAATTCCAGAAACTGGTTTTATGAAGTCCTCAATCTCTTTTCAGACATAGAGGGTACAAAAGTTGTTTTAAATACCCAAAAGCTCTAAAGGAAAACTGAGCTAGAATCACGTAAGGCTGGATAGCAGAACTAAGGTATTAGATTGAGGACCTAGGAAGACAATATAGCTCAAAAAGGAAACTTTTTTGACGACCTATGATGTTCCCAAATAGGATTTCCATGTCACCTAGCCTCATATCAATGGAAGTTTCAAAGCAGATAGCCTCCAGCCCAATCTGTTGAATATTCCTAATTATAAAGGTGCATATATATTAAGCTGACATTTATATAGTGTTAACTATGTCGGGCCCAATGAACTGCTTTACACAGATTTTTGTTGGTTTTGTTTTGATACAATGTCTCAGGTAGCTCAGGATGGCCCGAACTCAATACTCAGACTTGGATGATGAGCTTGCGCTTCACGTGCTGGAATCACAGCTTGTGTCCACAAGACTGGCTGGATTCTTATCATTATTGAACAGCCTATGAGGGAGTGGTGGACTCCTGGCTTCCAATTCTGACTTGGTAACTTACTAGCTGTGTTCCTGGACAAGTCACTTCGGCTTCCTCGTCTGTAAAATAACAATGGCCTACCTACCTAGACAGCGGTGGGGAAATCTAAGTGGATTCATAAGGCGACGGGAGAGAGCTCTGTGCTCTACGTACGGGTCAGCTATGCCTAGCATCCTGTCAGTTGCAGACAATGGGCCTGTCGGCATCCGGCCGGCCGCACCTGCAGCTCTGCTGAAAGCTGGGCAAACGGTCGAGGAGGTGACCGAGGGACGTCTCCACGTCGCCAAAGAGTCGGTGGATGCGCTCGGTGCACTCGGCACCGCGAATGAACGTCTTGTAGTTGGCGAAGGCCAGGTCGCGCGTCTGCTGCAGCAGCTGGGCCCGCTCCTCCGCCAAGCGCTCGGGCTCGCGCCGCAGCCGGTCCAGCCCCGAGCCGCTCAGCTCCCGGAGGTAGCGGCCCACGTCGGGTCGCTCACGCCACTGGGCCTCGGGGAAGCGGTCGCGGAACAGCGACGCCAGGAGCCCTTCATCTTCTACCTCCCCCAGCGCGGCTGCCGTGGCTGTCGCCGTGGCCGAGGCCGTACCGGAGGACTGGAGAGTCACCGCAGCGGCCATCTTCCCAGCCACGCCGTCACTTCCTCTCCAGACCCGAGAGGGCGCTGGTTTCCCGCCTGCAACCGGAAACAGTTGGGAAACAGTTCCTTTCTCTATGGTTTCTCACCTAGCCGGCTTTCCGGTCCCCGGAGGTCCTCCCCGCTAGGTGGCGCTAGCCCAAAGAACACGTGGCATTGGGCTAGAAAGGCACGCTTTGGTGTTGCCAGGAAGCGGGGTAAGGTGACTTCCGTTTCCGCCTCTCCGGGCACGAGGATCCTGGGAGCCAAGCTGGTGGGAAGATGCGGCCCTTGACTGAAGAAGAGACCCGAGTCATGTTTGAGAAGATTGCGAAATAGTAGGAACCCGAGAGGCGGACGGGGGACGGGCGTGCGGGGAGCGGGGCCGCGGCCCCGGGGCGGGACGGTCCCGGCGTAGCTTCCAGTCTCCTTTTTGCCCTCAGCATCGGGGAGAATCTACAGCTCCTGGTGGACAGACCCGACGGCACCTACTGTTTCCGGCTGCACAACGACCGTGTGTACTATGTGAGGTGAGGTGGGGCTTGGTGCGTACCGTGTACCCGGCTGGAGGCCTGCGTCCCTCAGTGGCCGTCCTTCACCAGGTACCTTCCTCCCTCCACCTTGTAGTGAGATGATCCTGAAGCTGGCAGCCAACATCTCCGGGGATAAGCTAGTGTCACTGGGGACGTGTTTTGGAAAGTTTACCAAGACCCACAAGTTCCGGTTGCACGTTACAGCCCTCGATTTCCTTGCACCCTATGCCAAGGTATGTGGGGCTGGTCTCCATTTGGCCGTCGGGGATGATGTCAAGGATGACGGCTAGGTCAGAGCACAGATTCACTTCCATCGAGTTCCTGACAGCGTCAGCACAAGGAGATAGGTCTAGCTGCTTGGACGTGCTTAGGAAGGGATATGGACCTGAGAATGCCATGTAGCTGCATAGCTTAGTTATCTGTAGCAAAACAGAAGCCTCCACAGTGCCCGCTGGTCATCAGAAAGCAGATAAAAGAGGCTGTGATGAGAATGATCCTGGGGTCCAAAAAAACCAAAAAAACTGTTAAGCTGTCCGTTCTGTAAATCGCTTATAGAATTGAGATGTGGAGCTGAGGAAGGAGCTCCATGGCGAAAGATGAAAAGATCAGGGTCCAAACAGTTTAAAGGGAACATGTCTGCTTGTCTGTTTCCCACCTCTCCTTAAACACAGAAGCAACAGCTACTCTACCCACAGGGATATAACTAGCATTTTCGCCTCTTGGTTTTTAACCCTCTTTCAGTATAAAGTGTGGATAAAGCCCGGAGCAGAGCAGTCCTTCTTATATGGAAACCATGTGTTGAAATCCGGTCTGGGTCGAATCACTGAAAACACTTCTCAGTACCAGGGCGTAGTGGTTTACTCCATGGCAGACATTCCTTTGGTGAGTAGAGGTGGTGGCCATCACAAACACCAAGTACCTTTTGAAAAGGATGTTGTTTGAGTCAGTGCACCTGTGAGACTAACTTCTCAGCACCCTTTGAGTTTCTCAGAGATACACTGTTTTAGCATAGGTTTTTGTTTGTTTGGTTTTATGTATTTTGTGAGTAGATTGGTGTCTGTTCTTCAATTCTAGGGTTTTGGGGTAGCAGCAAAGTCTACTCAAGACTGCAGAAAAGTGGACCCCATGGCAATTGTGGTGTTTCATCAGGCAGACATTGGGGAATACGTACGGCATGAAGAGACGTTGACTTAGGATGGTCATCCCAAGACCTTTTCGCTGTGTGAGAGGACTTAGCTGTTTCCTGGGTGTGCAAACATCATCACGTTGAATTTGGAGAACACCGATACATGCACCTTGGATTCTTACTCAACAGAAATGGCTTAAAAATAGGGTTTCAGGCCCTCTAGAGGCAAAAGCAGGTGGATCACAAGACCCGCTTGGGCTACCTGGCAAGTTCAAGGCTAGCCTGGGCTACCTAGTGAGACTCTGTCTCAAAAATCTAAAACAAACAACCCCAAAAGCTGTCAAGTGTTTGTATAGTAAGTAGTGTTTCTGTTCTCCACCTGCATGGACTCTGTTTGCTTCATCAGACTTGGTCTGATAACGGGTTCTAAGTTACTGCACTGAGGACAGGGGCAGTTTTATTGTTATCTGTGATAACACTCTTTTCTAGCCTAGTAATAGCATATCAGACTTTCTACTATTTTTTAAAATATCATTAAAGATAGAAACAGCCATATAAAGGTAAGCTATGCCTGTGATTTTACAGATGGAATTTAGTAAAAATAATAGATGCAACTCAGCCATTTTTCTTGGTGGTAAGTGGTGTGTGGTGTGGAAGAGCCTATACTCAAGCCTCATTCCTACCACCTGCCAGTTGTGTGGTATTGGACAAGTTTTTCCACTTAGGCTCCATTTTCTTCCTTTGTTAAAAGGAGGGTGGGGGGAAACATGAAACTGCTGAGTATGGTTGTACACATCTTTAATTCCAGCACCGGGGAGGCAGATGGTCTCTGTGGATTCGAGGCCAGCCTGGTCTACAAAGGGAGTTCCTGGCCAGCCAAAAAAACAAGCTCAAAACCCACAAAACTGGAAAAGCGCCTTTAATCGTCACTGTAACAGCAGTATTCATAATTAATGATTGTAAAGCATATAACATAGGATCTGGCAAACAGATGTGAATAAATACTGAAATATGTTTTTAAAAGGGTTTTACATTTATTTTTTGTATGTGAATGTTTTGTCTGCATGTACGTATGTGTGTGCACCATGATATGGAGGCCAAAAGAGGGTCTTGGATTCCCTGGAACTAGAGTTACAGGTAGTCGGAAGTTTTCCTATCAGGATTCGTGTAACAGTTACAGATGTGTGTGAGCCACCGTGGGGGTGCTTGGGACCAAACTGGGTTTCCTCCGAGAGCAGCCTGTGCTTTTTTAAACCATTGAACGTCTCTCCAACCCCCATTTTTAAAAATTGCATGTGTGCCAGGCATGGTGGCACACACCTTTAATCCCAGCACTCAGGAGACAGAGGCAGGTGGATCTCTGAGTTCAAAGCCAATAGTCTATATAGTGAGTTCCAGGACAGCCAGGGCTATGTAGAGAAACCCTGTCTCAAAAGAAAAGCTGTGTGTGTATGAGTATATTCCACTTGGATACAAGTCTCCTCAGGCCGGAAGAGGGGTTGAATTCCCTGGAGCTGGAGTTAAAGGCAATTGTAAACTGCCCTGTGTTGGTGTGCTGGGAACCAACGTCCTGTCCTCTGAAACAGATGGCTCTTGACTTCTGGGCCATCTTCCCTGCCTGTGTTGAAATATTTTTGTTACATTATTTTAATTGAAACAGAGTCTCACTATGTATCCATGACAGGCTTGGAACTTGCTGTGTAGACTATGTTGGCTTTGAACTCATGAGATCCATCTGCCTCTAAATGCTGGAATCAAATGGGTGAACAACCACACTGGGCTCAAACACATATTTTTTTTTTTTTTTTTTTTGAGACGGTTCTCTGTGTAGCCCTGGCTGTCTTGGCCTTGAACTCACAGAGATCCACCTGCCTCTGCCTCCTGAGTGCTGGGATTAAAGGTCTGCGCCACCACTACCCAGCATCTCTTTTATTTTAGATACAATTTAGATACAATTTTCTCACATTGTATCTAAGTTGGTCTGAAACACTGTAGTCAGCCTCTCACGGGATGGATGGTATTATAAGTCTGTGTTACCACACCTACTTTCCCAAGGTAACATCCTTTAAAGAGAAATATTTTGAACCACAGAAAGGCACTGTGAGGCCAGCAAGATAGCTCAGTGGTAGGCTGGTAGAGTGGATAAGGACATCGGCCACCAAGCCTGATGTTGAGTTCAGTCCCTGGGACAAGGTAGAGGGAGGGAATGCTAAACTTTACAGCCCTACACAATGGATTAAAAATTCTTAAAGACACTTAACAAAATTAGACTTTGTCCCATTGATTTCAACTCTTCCTTCAGAGCGTTCTAACTTATTTTGAGATAGGGTCTTGAACTGGCTGAAGCTGATCTCAGTGCTTCCACTCTGGAGTGCTCAGGTTCAGACTTGTGTGCTACCACTCTGATTGATGTGGGGGTTCTAAGGATCAAAGGTAAAGCTGCTGCGGGCAAAGCGGGCTCTCGGAAACTGGGCTACATCTTCAGAACCCCCTTCCAGGCTCTTCTGTTACCTTCTAAGTGGAGTCCATGAGGGGAAGGGACAGTTGTAGAGAGAATGGTATTTTAGGTGGGGGTGGGGGTCGGGGGCTTGTAGTACACACCTTGGCAGCAGTGGGGAGGCAGAGGCAAGTGAATCTCTTGAGTTTGAGGCCAGCTGGGTCTACACAGCAAGTTCTAGGCTAGCCAAGGCTACATAGTGAGACCCTGTCTCAAAAAATGGTATTTTAGTTTAGCACGTAATACATATTTTAGAATAATCAGCATCAGCATTCTTTATTATTGCCATTTGCATTTATTAATGAACAAATATAGGATTTAAGTTGACTTCCCCCCCCCCAAAAAAAAAGCTGATTTGATCAAAGCTTTGATGAAGATGCTGTGTATTAGCATCTTGGCTTTGTGTTAGTGGTTGAGACAGTGAAAAGACGTTTCAAGAAATAGAGCTGAAGGACCCCAGAAAGAACAATGGCAAGGCTCTGAGCTGCGGACCACCAGTTCACGTAGGTGTAGTTGGACTGGAGAAGGAAAAAGTCAGCCACTTTCCTCATTCTGGCAAAGTTGTAGTAGCGCCACATGTGAAAAACATTGTTCTGCACCTTTCGTGTGCTGTGCTGTGGGAAAAAGGAAAGCTGCGTTGACTGCCGGCTGGGCCTCCCTTGCACTAAGTTCCTAAGTCATATTACTCATGATTCTGACATCCATAGCACTATAGCAGTTGAAAATAAAGAACACACACCTTTAATCCCAGCACTTGGGAGGCAGAGGCAGGTAGATCTCTGTGAGTTCAAGGCCAGTCTGGTCTACAGAGCAAGATCCAGGACAGGCAGAGCTGTTACACAGAGAAACCCTGTCTTGAAAAAAACCGAAAGAAAAAAAAAAAACATGGTACTTTGGCTGTATTTGCAAAACTTTGCTGGGGTAGTTTTAAAGTTGGGAGGTGTGGGTGGGGGCTTGGGATGTACCTCAGTAGTAAGAAGGATTGCCTACTACGCAGAAAACTCAGCACCCTAAACACAGCCTTGCACATTTGAGGTAAACATTCTTATTGAGCTCAAACTCTGTAGCCAAGGATAACTTTGAATTCCTGACCTACTCTGTTGAGGTTACGAGTATAAATCACTATCGGTGCCAGAAATAGTTGTAGGACAACAGATTAAGATGTATGCTCGGAGCCGGTCGGTGGTGGCGCACGCCTTTAATCCCAGCACTTGGGAGGCAGAGCCAGGCGGATCTCTGTGAGTTCGAGGCCAGCCTGGGCTACCAAGTGAGTTCCAGGAAAGGCGCAAAGCTACACAGAGAAACCCTGTCTCGAAAAACAAAAAACAAAAACAAAAACAAAAAAGATGTATGCTCGGGGCTGGAGAGATGGCTCAGTGGTTAAGAACACTGTCTACTCTTCCAGAGGACCTGGGTTCAATTCCCAGCACCCATATGGCAGCTAACAACTGTCTGTAATTCCAAGATCTGACACCCTCACACAGACATGCATACAGGCAGAATACCAATGCACACAGAGATAAATAAATTATTTTAAAAAAAAAGATGTATGCTCAGCCTGTCATTACCCTCCTAACTGATGTCTTCTCCCTACAAACTGTTAGGCTTATAAAGAAACACCTTTGGCAAGATGTGTCTTGCAAGTACTAAATTTTGCCATTATAGCCCAAAAGCAGTCATACATGATGTGTAACTGTCAAACGAATGTGGCTCTGTTCCCATAAGATGTAGGTTTACAGAACACAAGCTTTTGTATGCCAAGGAGACAAAGTGGTGGGAGATGTGTGCAGATCACATGTCAGAGGGGGCTATGTGTGCTGCTGGTGCTTGTACATACTGGGCAAGGACTCACTAGCACTGAGTTACAGCCCCAGCCCTGAGCAAAGGATCTGAATAGACATTTTTTCCAAGATCTACAAAATGGTTAATAAGCATGTGAAGACGGTCTTTATCTATATATCTCCAGCTGTCCTGGAACTCGCTCTGTAGGCTAGCTCAGACTCAGAGATCTGTCTGCCTCTGCCTGTGAGACCTGTGTGGTTTTTTTTTTTTTTAAAGTAATCAAAATGGGTTAGTGGTGGCGCACGCCTTTAATTACTGCACTTGGGAGGCAGAGGCAGGCGGATCTCTGTGAGTTCGAAGCCAGCCTGGCCTACAAAGCAAGTTCCAAGACAGCCAGAGCTGTTACACAGAGAAACCCTGTCTCAAAAAAAACTAAATAAATAATCAAGCTGGGCATGGTGGCACATGCCTTTAGTCTCAGCACTAAAGAGATGGATGGAGCTCCGTAAGTTCAAGGCATAGTAAGACCTTGTCTCAAACAAAAGCCATGCTTCGTGAAAGAAGCCGCCACAAAGTCACATGTTTACATAAAATTTCAAACAGAAAACCTACAGGAACAGTACAGCAGTGATTCTACTAGCATTGGGAGATTCTGGAGGGAATGGGGGCAGTCAGGATATGCATAGAGTTTCTCTAGAGGACATGAGATTGTTGTGCTTTAGGGACTAGGGGTAGCTGCCCAACCTTGTGAATACATATGAAAACAGGCAGTGGGCTAGATGGAGCTGTAACAGGAGCTCCATGCTGCATGCTGCTGCATTGGATCGTTCCACTCCTCCTGTGGTTTCTATCCTGAGTCAGCATTCAGGCTCCACCCCCAGGATGCTAAGCCCATTACCTCAATCGCATCCAGAGTGTCGTTCAGCTGTTTCCTTTGGTTCTGTTTGTGATCCATTTCAGGCCCTTCGTAGAAGACGCCAAAGTTGAGATACACTTGTATAGCACTGAAGCGATTCTGCTCATTTTTTAGACAAAGCTGATAGTAACCTGTGGGAATTCCTAGATCTTATTACCATGTTTTAGGTGTCCCACCCTGTCTTAAGGTTCCCCTAGACAGCTGTTCACCAGCTTGCTTTATTTATTTGTTTGTTTGTTTGTTTTGTTGGGGGGGCATGGTTCAAGACAGAGTTTCTCTGTGTAGTTCTCACTGTCCTGGAACTCACTCTGTAGACCAGACTGACCTTAAACTCACAGAGATCCACCTGTCTCTGCCTCCCAAATGCTGGAATTAAAGGCATTTGCTACCACTGCGCGGCTTGTTTTATTTTTTAATTTGATGCAGGGTCTCACTATGTAGCTCAGTCTGGCCTTGAACCCAGAATTCTCATGCCTCAGCCTTTGAAACACTGGGATGATAGTCATGCACTACCACCTCTAGTTTGTTCCCTGGTTTCAAAGTAACTACAGTAGCACCTGTTTAGGAAGTAATAGAACTATTTTTGACACAAAGGGCACTGTTCTTAACAGTAATTACTTATAATTACATTTTGTTAAATGATAACTCCTGTACTGGATACAAAAATGTTTTTCCTAGCTGGGAGGTGGTGGCACACGCCTTTAATCCCAACACTCGGGAGGCAGAGTCAGGCGGATCTCTGTGAGTTCGAGGCCAGCCTGGGCTACCAAGTGAGTTCCAGGAAAGGCGCAAAGCTACACAGAGAAACCCTGTCTCGAAAAACAAAACAAA